GGCCTTCGTTCCTGCCGGCCCCCATTGGCAGCGGCCATCCTCGCCGCGTTCCCGGCCCGGGTGTTGGCAGGCTGTGAGTACAGCCCTACCACACACAGCCTGCACGTTGTGCACAGGCAGCTGCCTTGTTCCTGGCCCTGGGTTTCATGCGAGACGTGCCGACACGCTGGGAACAGCCTGCCCTGCACGGGATGGGGAAGCAGGGGTGGGCGGCCGACGTGGCAGGGAGCTTTTGGGGTGAAAGACCCGTTCCCGGGCAGACTTGTTTGGCTGCTGCTGGTGCAATGGGGCGGGGGGGGATGGAAAGATGGTTTTTGTTATGCTTCGGGCATTTGTACTGCACAGCTCTAAAGCAGCTCCCGAGGCTCTCGTTGCACCCTGCTGGGGATGTTCTGGGGTGTGTTATTAAATGCCAACAGGACTAAAGAGAGAGGCTTGTTCCACAGCCTGGTGATAAAAACAGGTACCTGAGGTATGGCAGATCTCAGTTCAAACCTTCAAAATAAATTGTCATTATCCAATTCCTTATATGAGGAAGAAAAACCTGCAGGAGAGTACAAAAGGCTCATTTCAGAGTCACTGTCAGCTGGGTGGTGAGGATGCTCGCTGGGCACCAGGGCGAGTTGGCTTAGACAGATCCACCTCCCATCCAGGGCTGTAACCCTGCCCTGCTGCGGCTCGGGGCAATTCCCTCCTTGCAGCATCTTTGCTGTGCACAGGAACAGTCTCGGGGGAAAATGTGGGAAGAAAAAGCCCTTTTCCCTCCCCCTCTGCTAATAAAAATTTGGGTGCAGCTTTAGCTGATGGCAATTTGAACTTCCCCCAAGCCAGGGAACTCATGTACAGGCTGGAGAAAAAGGGAAGGAAATCCTTGAGCTATCCAAAAGCAAATCCCCTCTTTTTGTATGACTGTCATTCGTGTTGAAAGAGCCAAGCTTGCTAGCTATTGAATAAGTAAAGTGCTGTTTTAGTTCCAGTTTCCAAGTAGAAGTGGATGTATTTGAGGGGTGTGTGTAAATACGGTAACTGCTCACCATGCGCCCGAGCAGTTCGGTGCCTGTATGCCAAGCGCTGGCTTTGATAGTAATTATTTCTGAGAGCTCGAAGGTGTCTCTTGCCTGGTGTGACAGATTTTGGTGGCCATGTACAGCTGTCTCGGACACCTGCTCTATCTCAAAATGCCGATCGCAGAACAGGAGGAAGTTTTAGCGAAGGATTTGAGGGAAAGGAAACATATACAGAGTTCACTGCAGTCTGCCCCAAAAGAAACGCTGATAATCCAGATATATTTCCTTTATGCAAGCATACGCTGAGCTGCTCCGCGTACGCTGGTGCTTCATGCACCTGCAGTATCTCCAGCAGATCTGCTAAGCCCCAGCAAACGTGTTTCAGCAAGCGTCCGGCGTTTCACACGGCTGGGGAGGGCTGTGCTGGGCAAGCTGTGGGGCGAGCTCCGGTCGAAGCATCCATTTCAGCCCTCACAAAGCCGCCCGATCGCAGAGTAATTAATCAGGGCTTGGTTTTTGCCCGCCACAAAGGGAGTGTTCCAGACCGGGCATGGTCCTCAGGGTCTTGCTGTTGTCCTCAGCTCTGCAGATGGGACGTGCTCAGTGAGCCGTGCCGTCCCCAGGGGAGCACAGCCATACCTGTGCACGCAGCATGTCACCTGCTTTGTCCGGCTAATTAGAGGGCCATTGTCGCTGGTGAAAGGTCTCTCATTTCATCTCATGAACTATGCTTTTCAGGTTTCTGCCCCAGCAGAAGGCTCCCTGGCAAACCACGGGTGAAGCCCAGCTTCGCCTCTGAGGGTAAGACCTGGTGGGAGCAGCGGTGATTTGCCACCCCCAGGAGAGGGGTCTGCAGCACGGAGGGCAGGGAGGAGTGGTTGTCTCCTCCTACAATGAGAAAGAAGAGGTTTAGGAGCGGGGTTACCATTCGAAGCAAAATCTCCACCGTTTTTGGCCGCCTGGAAGTAGAAATGTTTCGTGCTGAGCACAACATGTAGCTGAGTTGGAGCAAAGCATTTGGGCTTTAAGACATGGAGACAAACCCCAGACATGTAGAATCATAGCATGGTAAGGGTTGGAAGGGACCTTAAAGATCATCTGGTTCCAACCCCCCTGCCATGAGCAGACCCCCCTGCCATCCTGGACACCTTTCGAAGTGAAGGCTATTGGAACAGAGGGGCTTACCCCAAAATTAATAGTGTCAGCATGGAAATGGGAGGGCTCCAGACGAGCCCTTGGGTCTGCCAGTGCGAGGGCGTGTGTGTCCTTGTGCTGAAACAAGATTTGGATGGGGTGTGTGCCCTGATGCACCCTTGGGTGAGGCTTTTCCTCCTGCTGAGGTGCACACGACATTCCAACCCACCACACAGAGAGGGTCCCTTGGATATTCCTCTGCATCCCAGGGACCGGAAGATATTCTATTGTAACGTTTACCATTATTAGAAATATTTCAGTATTGCTGGTTTCGGTTATGCTGGTTATTTCGAGTGCAAGGTGAGCTATGATCTGGATTAAGTCTGCTTCAAAATGTCACAGAGTTTCATACAAAGGAGATCAAGAGAGCAGTCATCGGTAGAAATCTTTGTAAAATGGCCATGAAACTGAAGCTACTTATTGCTGCCCAGGCAAAGCGATGTGAATGGCTCAACTGAGTTTAATGTATAAGAATATCCCAGTCAGCCTGTCGAGGGGAAGATTAAGCCTTTGAAGTGACGTGACGTAATCCCTGCCCATCGTGTCAGGAATTTGGGAGAGGAATTAGACTTCAATGCTCACGAGAAAATTCAGCATTAAGGTGAAGGTGCAGAGGCACAATGTATGTTGTATAGAGCTGTTTCTTCTTGGGTGCCATACTTCAGTTTTTCTGCCTGTTCGGTGGTGTAACCGTTCTGTGTTGGGCACCAGATGCAATGTGTGATACGGGAGAGACGGCGGGAGCCTCCTGCAGCGCACGGGCCCCTCAGCACTTGCGACAGAGCAAATATAAAACTCCATCCCAAGCTTGAAGTGAGAATTGCCTCAGATTTCGGGAGGGTGTTGCAAGCCTGCTCCCGCGGTTCTGCCCTTAGTCAGCAGCGGATGTCCCACAGGCTGCGGTCAAGTCCGCGTTGTCACCTTTAGCTCTAAATGACCTTTTTCTTTCCTCAGTAGCCCTGAACAGTAGTTGTGTCATCCTCGCATGTGTTTGTCTGTCGTAAGTTGAAAGTCAAAGCTTTAGATTTCGTCTTTGGTGTCTGCAAACATGAAAAGTATTTCAGGGAAAACAGCTGTGTTCCCTTCTGTGGAGTTTCACAACGGATGAATTCTGCAAAAGAAGGCTTGTATTGTTGCAGTCACTGCTTTCTTTTCGTATTTTCTTTTTCTTTTTATTTCCCTGGTGAGATTAAATTCTAGACACTGCTCCTTCTCTTGGGAATAGTTTTAAGGCAGCTCTCTTCATAGACATAAATTATTCACTGAGAAGGATTTTTTGCTGAGATGAGAATGAGTAGGTCGGATTCAGGACTGTTGTCATGGCTTGAAGCTCTTTGAAGCTCTTCGTCATTAATCATTAAAAGAGCTGCACTAACATGGCAAAAGGGGGAACCGGCTCTTTGTGTAGGTGATCTGAGGATCACCTTTAGATACACACAAAAGGATTAATCCTGCCTGTGGCTTTTTACGTTGAGAAAATAGTAAGTTGTGTTTAATTTCCTACTGACTCATTTCCTTGCGTGCTACAACTTAGCATCGGTTTTCACGTGCAAGTACAGTTTACACTATATTCAATTTTCTTAACAGGCATCTAAGCTGAAAATTGTTGTGGGTATTTCTTTTGTGTTTCATCGTGCAACGAGTTGGATGGCTTTTTTGCTATCCACCCTGACGCTTGCTATAGTGTAGAGGGAATAATGTGAATGAAAGAAAGGCAGTTTGTTTGATCTGACTCACTCACACTCCTGACAGCGCCGGCCAAAGCCCTGAGAAGTCTCTGTGGTGTTGGGTGGGATGTGAGCTGCTGGGGACAGAGTTGGGGACGGTGCCAGCCCTGTCCTCGTCATTGAGTTCTCCCTTTCC